GGATTCAAGATTAAATCTTTTGAAGGACCTAGTTATTTTAACCTTGGGAGAGGATTTAATAGCCTTTATTTTGCGCACGCAGTACACTAAACAGTGATCACTGAACGTGTTTGGGAGAACACCAGCCTCCTGGATTCTATCAGGAGAAGTGGAGAGAATCCAATCTAGCAGGGTATGGTTATGGCTTTTTATGTTTATGCGAGTTGGGGAGGAGATTAATTGCGTTAGCTGCAAAGTCTTAAACAGCGTGCAAGAACTATTATTTTTAGGGTTCAGCCAATCAATATTAAAATCTCCAAAGACCAACAGTTCACTTTTTGGGTTTTGAGCTATGGTTTCACTAAGGAGATGGGCTATGTCAGATAGGGAATGCACAGGGGAGCTAGGTGGGCGGTAGATTCCTGCAACAATGATTGATTTACTGCACGGGATCTCAATTTTGACAGAAAGGAAATCAAAGATGGCAGGAGGACTAAGGTTTTGTAAAGGGGTAAACTTTATGGAATTGTCAACATAAATAACAATGCCTCCTCCTCTCTTTGCTCTGTCATTTCTAAAACATGAATAACCCTGTATTGCAATGGCGGTGTCTGGTATTTTAGCCGTTAACCATGATTCTGAGAGCACAATGACTTTTGGTTTGTAATGGGAACACCAGGCTTGCAGTGCATCCAGTTTAGGGAGTAAACTACGGATGTTGCAGTGCACAAAAGAGAGGCCTTTTTTAGTGGGGAGATTAGGACTAGAATTAGCTGGGGGACCAGGGTTAGACTCCACATCATTTGCAAGGGCAAGTAACATAAGGAGTAGGAATTTGGACATCATCTTTGTTTGGCCATATAGTGAATGGGATAATTTATAATTTTGTGAGTTGGGGGTAGGAGGGCTATTTTTTTATAACTCTCCACCAGCACTCAGCAGATAAGTTAAAGGAACAGAGCAGGCCATGGTGTATTATAATTTGTGTTCCAGTTTGAGGTGCGTGCTTATGCTGGTAGTGGTGTGAACAAAATTGGATTGAGAAAAGGGTTATTAAGAATAACAGTATATTAGGATTCATGTTAGTGGTATGAGGTGTGTAGTTGAAAATGAAACAGAAATTGTGAGAAATTTATTTATTTAACTATTTATTTATTTTTAAATAGAAGTATATGGTTTTAGTGTGTGATATATCTATTTGTAGTGAGAGAGAGTATGTGTTCTATAGGGTTAAGAGATTGAAAGGGTGTGCTGATCAGTGGTTGCACCTGTCATATCAGTAGATTGAAAGTTGTGTGGGAGACTATCTATAAAGGAGAAAATGACCATGGGGTGGGTGGGAGGAAAAAGTCAGTCTTCCAGAAGGCTACCTGTTTCAAATGGCCATGGAACAGCTGATGGAGCTCTGAGTTCTATGCTGGACTGGGTATGTTTAAAAATCAGACTGTGGGAGAGAGATGTATATTAGGGTCAGATGGGCTAAGAGATGGGGGGGTGCATAGATGGACATTTGATTTAAGGTCATTTAAGGAAAAACAAAAGCAAAGATTGAGAATTACAGAGATAAGACAGAGGTATTTAAGTAGGGAAATAAAACCATTAAACAAGGAACAGGAAAGATATATGGGCCTGAGCTGGTTAAACTAACTTTTAACATGATGGACAAAGACAAAGGTGATAAAATACTTTGCATGATTAGCACAGGCTATAGTTACAAAGACATGAAAATGTATACATTTAAAAGAATAAAACTAAATAATATATACTAAATATAAAAACATACACATACAACAAAAATTAACAGGGTACGTAGACATATAATGAAAAGTCAGTCTTCCAGAAGGCTACCTGTTTCAAATGGCCATGGAACAGCTGATGGAGCTCTGAGTTCTATGCTGGACTGGGTATGTTTAAAAATCAGACTGTTTCAAATGGCCATGGAACAGCTGATGGAGCTCTGAGTTCTATGCTGGACTGGGTATGTTTAAAAATCAGACTGTTTCAAATGGCCATGGAACAGCTGATGGAGCTCTGAGTTCTATGCTGGACTGGGTATGTTTAAAAATCAGACTGTTTCAAATGGCCATGGAACAGCTGATGGAGCTCTGAGTTCTATGCTGGACTGGGTATGTTTAAAATAAAAAATATGATTAACATTTAAAATATATTTTTATGTTTTTAGCAAAAACTGACTATTTTATATCTTTAACAACATTAATTTAACAATGTCTTAATTATCCATCTATTTATTAGTTACAGCATAAGAATAAAATATATTTTATACAATTGTGCACGTTGTATGTAAATCTGAAAATCAAATGCAAATTTTATGCCATTACTGACATGGATAAATTAATCTTACTTTTGTTAAATGTGGAAAAAACTGCAAACCTCAATAGTGCGTTAAGAAAAAAGTGATCAACATAAAAATATTAATTAAAATATTTTAATAAAATCAATACATAACAAAGCATTACATCTTACAAACAGTTAAATTTTTATTAGGTTGAACGTTTGCCAAACATGTAAAAGAACATTTACCAAAACATTACTAAACATAACTACAACGATAACAGTCAAAGAATAATTAAATTTTTCAAGACAAACAAAATATATAATCGCCATTTGTTCTATGGGCTTGGATCTGGAGCTGGCCTGTGAAAATAAAAACAACAACAATTATTAGCAAGCATCGAAATATAATTTCTAGAGATAAACAGTACTAACTATATGATAAACAGACATATATCCACAGGGCCGGACTGGGAAAAGAATTCGGCCTGGGCATTTTTTTATTACAGCAGCCCATTAAGAAGGGTGCGGGGCAGAGAGGGTGTGTTTTGTCATCACTCATGACAAACACGCCCCCTCTCAAAGTGAGCATGTTGGTTCAATGGTCTTCCAGGGCAGACCATGCACAGAGCTCAGCTGAAGAGCTCTAGCATGAGAAAAAAGCCCTGTATTTGTTCTGTGCAGTGCAAGCAAATTTAATAACATGCTTGCACTGTGTTTCCTTGCAACTTGTCTCTGGTGTCTCTATAAATGGATACCAGGAGACAAAAGGGCCAGGAAAGAGTATTGTGCATGTGTTTGGAGCCTGCTTGTGGTATTGCGTGTGTGCAGAGTGAGCTGGTCGTGGTGTGGTATTGTGTAATAAGGTCGGTTTTAGTCGTGTTGTGTTTGTGGTGTAATGTAATGCATATGTGGCTAGGGGCTGTAGAGAATGTGTCTATAGGGGATGTAGCAAGTGTGTGTATACAGGCTATAGTGTGTGTGTTTGTGTGTATAGGTGATGTAGTGTTTGTAGAGGGTGTGTGTTCAGGGAATGTATGTGTTTGCTTACAAGGAATCTAGTGTGCGTATAGGGGATCCAGAGTGTGTGTGTGTGTGTGTGTGTGTGTGAAGGACCCAGACTATGTATAGGAGATCTAGTGAGCGTGCGTATATAACGGATTCAGAGTGTATATAGGGATCTAGTGTGTGTATGTGTGTAGATGATCCAGAGTTGGGTAGAAGATCTAGTGTGTGTCTGGAATGAAATGTGTTTAGGGGTGCTGTGTGTGTGTGTGAGGGGTGCTGTGTATATATATATATATATATATATATATATTATATATATATGTTTGGAAGTATTGTGTATGTGTGTGATGCAGTGTATCGGGGGGTTGTGTGTGTATGTGAGGGGTGCAGTATGTGTGTGTGAGTGCTGTGTATGATGTGTGTGAGTGCTAAGTGTGATGTATGTGAGTGCTGAGTGTGATAGTGCTGTGTATGATGTGTGTGAGTGCTGTGTATGATATGTGTGAGTGCTGAGTGTGATAGTGCTGTGTCTGATGTGTGTGAGTGCTGTGTCTGATGTGTGTGAGTGCTGAGTGTGATAGTGCTGTGTATGATGTGTGTGAGTGCTGAGTGTGATAGTGCTGTGTATGATGTGTGTGAGTGCTGTGTATGATGTGTGTGAGTGCTGAGTATGATGTGTGTAGTGCTGTGTATGATGTGTGTGAGTGCTGTGTATGATGTGTGTGAGTGCTGTGTATGATGTGTGTGAGTGCTGAGTATGATGTGTGTGAGTGCTGAGTATGATGTGTGTGAGTGCTGAGTGTGATAGTGCTGTGTATGATGTGTGTGAGTGCTGAGTGTGTCTGAGTGTGAGAGTGCTGTGTATAAATGTTGTGTGTTGGGGGGTAAATAAACAAATAAAAACCTAAGTGGGAATAAATATACAAATAAAAAAAATAAGGGGGGTAAATAAACAAAAAAACTAATCATGCATTATATTCCCCCCTCCCCCCTTACCTTTAGCCTGGGAGGGGGAGGGGTCCGGCACGCTGGTGAGTGGGGGGGTGGGGGACCGGCACTCGCACACGATCCCTGGTGGTGGGTGCGAGATCGGGGCGTTGCCATGGCAACGCTCCCGATCTCGCGAGAGGAGCCCGGCGGAGCTGCAAGTCCTCTCCCTCCCTCCCCAGCCGCAGGTCTGTTTAAATGGGCTGGTGAGGGAGAGCTTTGATCTCCCCACCGGCCCTCCATGGCAAACAGCGGGGCCGGCGCTCGGATAGTGCCGGCCCTGCATAGACCGGCAGGGGAGATCCTGGGACCTCCCCTGCCGGCCTCGGCCCATGGCCACCGCGGCCCACCGGGCATTTGCCCGGTATGCCCGATGGCCAGTCCGGGCCTGTATATCCATATGTAATGAAATAACGTGCCTTTAGAGATAACCTCTCACTTCAGAAATATATTCAATGTAGGATTAAATACCAATATTCCAAATGTCAACAAATAAGAACTGTATTTCATAGGTCTTTTGCATTCTGAAAATTATCTATCTTTAATACTAAAAAAAAATATCAACTAATAAAGAATCTGAAAACACTTCAACCTAATGTTGCACTAAAATAACTGCTCGCTTAAATCAATGTACACATCATTGACGTATTCCAATAAATCATACAACTCATAAGGTTTTAAATATACAACTGTGTTAAAGAGGCACATTGAGTCCAACTGTAAAGGGATACACCTCAAATTACCAGTTTGTTTTTCAGAGATTTGCTTGTTTTCAAAGCATCTACCAATTTTTGAAAGTAGTCCAAAGACTTCAGGGCCAGAAGACTAAAAATGTATGTGTCATCTTCTTCTGCTATAGGTACATGTATTTGTGCTATGGCTTCCAATCTTTCCTCTATTTTTTCAAGTCTTCCAGTTATGTCTGCCACCCACTGCAGAACATCTGCCCATTTTCTATTCTCTCTTGCTGGAGCTAGAAATAAAAGAACGGAATCAGTAAGACATATTACCGAGAGCAACTTTAAATGCCCTGTTGTAATTATTGAGCACTCTCCATTTGACCATGTCAGAAAGTGACAACTAAACTATGTTTTCCTCCTTTTATTCAGAATACAAATTATGCAAACTACCTCAAATTTCTACTTCTTCAACACAAAATTGTTGGTGAGGGCTTAAGATTCATCTAAGAGCTTTTTTTTAGGTTTAGCCTTAGATCACGGTAAAATAATGTACAGCAAGCATATTGGGACCAAATGAAGAGTACATGATCTTTTGCAAGCAGTGTGGAAATGAAGCAGACAATTTAACTTATGTAAAATACTTAATAAAACATGAACACAATAAAAAAAATATACATTGCAAACAAAAATAGAAAAAAAATATCTGTTATACAAACCTAGATAATGGGAAATGTGCTGCACGTCTTCTTGAATGGAAGAATGGTGTGTAGCTCTACTAGATGCAGCAGAATTGAAAGGAATTATAACAGAACAAAGAGTAAGCGCTAGCTAATATGAGGGCAGCAACCCTATAAGGGAATAGCGAAAGGAATTATAGTTGGAGGACTTTGAGTGTAAGAGGTTTTTGAAGAATGCAGAAATTTTGTAACGGACGACTCGTGTTGGAAAGGTGTAAAGCAGGATTTAGAAATATCTGTTAAAGTGTGTGTAAGAGGTGCATTATTAGAGGGGCAATGTGTAGTTGAAACAAGCAGGGCTGATTGGGGGAAGTTAGTTGGTGAAGAAACATATGGAACATTAGAAAAAATAGCTAAGGAAGAAAAGGTAAATGTGAGAATAAAGGAGAAGATGCAGCAACTGGTACATGAAAGGACTCAGGCTGAGGGAAAGGTGGTAGCACAGATAATCGTTGTTGTACGGATGGACACCTTGTTACACGGTTTTGTATTTCTGTTTCTGCTATGTCAGATTCTTCATCACCAGCCTCTTCTCCAGGAAGCAATACAGTTGCTTTCTTGATTTTCTTTCCTCACTGAGGTCAGGTTCAGGGTCCAGGCCTGAGGTTTCCTCTGCTTTTTTAAGATTACTTCTGGCCAAAGCAAATGTAGCTGGAAATACACAAAGACAAAGAAAATAAATATTAAATATATATATACACACACACACACACACAAACACACACACGAAGTATACTGTAGGACAAATAAACTAGAAGAAAATGACTAGCAGGTTTATTGTATTACTATACAAAAGAGTAGATACTCACAATAACATGCACTTTGCAGATTGCCCACTTGTATGCTTTGTTCTATGGACTCACGTCATCCTTAATGAGGCGTTCTCTCATTTGGTCAGTTTTAGACTCTGGATAGTAACATGTAGAGTAATCAGTCGCCAGCCATGAAAGTAGAATAATGCCTGGAGCATCATCTTCATCTATAAATTTGACGATTGCAAATGTATTTGCTTCTGCCATATACAACTTTCACAGAAAAGATTATAACTCACTCTTATGAAAAAAAATAAGATAAAGTATACACAAAATAAATTATGAAAGTAATATTATATAGCATGTACCGTTGCCTTCATTAAAAAAGCATTTAAGAAATGAATGAAATTACATAAACTGGATAGATTAATAAAACCTGCAGATTAGCCACTTCCATTAATGGGAGGGGTTAATGCCCCCAGAGTGTCAGGCGTGTATAAACACAGGACAACCCCTTGATTGAAATGCGTCCTTCCATGTTTCCAGTCAGGCCCCGCCCCACCAGCTATGTTGATTCTTAATGAGGCAAAGGATCTCTTCCCTTCATCTCAGCCGGACGGCTGGAGACCATACAGTGCAGCCTTAGGGCGGCCAAAGGCAGGCGAAATACTGCTTAAATAGCAGTACTGAGCCTTAGTCAACCTCACCTCTGATATGGTTTAAGATCCTTTCACCTGCCATTTGACTGCCAGTACAGCTACCTTCGGTCCTTAGTGAATTACCCTGTAAATATATTTAATTTTGTTAATAAATAGCTAAATAATGCTTAAATGTAGCACAAAACAGAAAACAAATACAAAGATTAACAGAAAGTATGCATAGTGCAATGTCTCAAAAGACCTTACACCCACAAGGTAGAGGGACCTACTCTAAATTTAAGAGAAAATAGACAACAGAGACACCGTCAAGATATAGTAGCATCAACTTTTCAGTTACATCTGCAACTTTACTTAAAATAAGTCTACTATCTAACTCACTAATTTTACAGATTCCTAAGTAAATGCTGTTGCAAAAACCCTCTTCATAGAAATGTTCTACTTATTTGAATTTGTGTCCAATTATGCACATTCCATGAGAAAATGAATGGATAATATTTTCTATAATAACAATTAATCCATCAGTTATTCTGCAGCAATGGTTAGGTTGTGAGGTTGTCATTTTCATACCGCTCACTTTTAAACATCTGTATTGTTCACCTGTATCTAAACAATTCAATACTGGACCCGATGTATGCAGTGAAGTGTAAGTGGCCTCAAAGCCCATAATGGCATACCATTTGCAAAAGTAGACAACCCAAGGTATTGCAAATGGGGTATGTTCAGTCTTTTTTAGTAGCCACTTAGTCACAAACACTGGCCAAAATTGGTGTTCAAATTACACACAAAAAAATATTAACGCTAAATTCCTATTTCTCCTGAATAAAATTATAAATAACACATGTGGGTGCACTTAACATGAAAGAGGTGAAGTACGGTTGAACTGACAAATAGTCAAATTCCAAGTTTTGTTTACGTTTTATTTTGATTAAAACATGTACATTTGACTCAGTTCTTAAGGGGTTAATGCTTCAAAGGTAAATATTGCCGTTTTTAATAAAACGTGATTTCTTTTAGTGAGCTATTCCAGTTATCAATGTCATTTAATGGTACCAATGGTTTGTTAGGTGTACACATAAAATTAAAAGGAGTGAAAGTTTTAAAACAAACATTTTATTTATGAATTTATTTTAGGAAGTATAGGTGACTGCTTTGCAGCTTATTCAGTTATAGAGCTACTGAATGAGACAGTTTTCTCAGAAGGATTGCATGTTAAGCAAAATCTCAGAATATAAATGAGGAAAACTTAAATATTGCAAACTGTGCTACACCAATGTACTATTATGCTTAGTTACTCCTTTATTTCTATCCTCCCTGTACTCTATATCAGAACTCATGGTTCCCACCCAGCTCTCTTCACACAACCTCCAAAGTGATTATAAAATGGCTGCCAGCACCATAGAAGGAAAAGCTTACACACATAGCATTGAGTTGGAATGTCAGCACCTCACACTGACCTCTGTGGTGGGATGTACACATTGCACACAACATTCTAACCACTTGTAGCAGACTTGCAGCAAATTTGCAAAGCAAGTTGATCTGGAGACTTGCAATGCAGACTTTAAGCAAATGTGCAACAAACTTGTGAAGCTTGGCAAGTCAAGCAATAGCATAGCAAGTCATTTTCAAACTTGCAGCTCAATGGATTGCTATCTGGGCAGCTGCCAGAACACAGAGAGAGTATCAACTACCACAATCCTAATCCATCCAGGTCTGGACTACAGTTTTACTTGCTTTTTTCACTCTATAGATATATCGGACTATATGCCAGCCTCTGATTTTGATCTCTATTTTTTTTTATATCTTTGAAACTGTTTTTATTTTTACTTAATAAATAGATCTGTTTTTAAAGTCAAGTCACTCATATCTGTTATATTTTACTTTGTATTTTTATTTTTACTTTGGCATTACTAAAGAGTTTCATTTGGGCAATCAGTTCCTCATACTAATTAGCCCGGTCACAGACTCCAAATATCTTTTATACATATAAAAGTATATCAAATTGCATAGATATCATCAGCCCTGTGTTGTTTTCACAGCAGGGCTTAGGTTATTTATGATATAAATCAAGGACTCATAGATCTCCTGGGACTGATTACACATTCCATATTCTGCAACTCTAACTGTGTAGTTAGTAGTCTACATATTAGATTTGTTTAGCTACTTTCAACCATCGGAATATCAATTTGATTATGAATTCAATTTCATTATCTGTATCTCATCCTTAATTTATAGCTCCTGGATAACCCACACTATATTTTATGGTGTACTATCCTTATGCTTTATAGGATTTGGTGAATTACTTTTTTTTTTTTTTTTTTTCAGTTTCAGAGCTAATTTATTCATTTATTTATTTATTGTATCCATTTTTAGTCTAATTCCCTCTTATTTTTTTCTGTTATATTCATTTTGTGGATATCAGAATTGAGCACTGAATGCTCCAATCGTGGAGCACAACAAGGAACACAACACCAGGGTCATTTGCACTCACAGTCAAGGGATTATATTAAGTGAGTGCTGGCACATTAGATTTATTTATATTGAGTATGTGTTGTGACAGTGCTAGATAAAGTAACGGAAGAACTGAGCAGGGAGAGGCGGACAAATAATCAAACGTTTGCCTAAGGTCATTCGTATTGTAAAATATGGCATTTAAATCTTTAACTCGTAGACGGGTACGTTGTAATTTGGTGACATTAAGATTAGTGAAAAAGGTTTCTTGATTCCCACATGTTCTTCTGTTTTAGGGTGTAACAAAACAAGTACCTAGAGGGCAGGGTTGGCCTTAGGCATTTAGGTGCCTTATGCAAAAACATGAGTGGCACCCCTACCTCAACGAGAAATATAGAACAGGATATAATTGTAGGTTCTGCTAAACTACTATCCTTTTGACCTTTGCTAAATAGATACATAAAAATATTAAACTTCTGTTGATTAAGTGCAAACACAATACTAGAACAGATTGCATTCAAATGTATATATTATTATTATTATTATCATTATTGTTGAAAAGATAAGTCAAAAAAGGAACACTATTGTCAGGACTCAAGCCGTTCGCGGCAGCCTCTCTGTTATATTCGCCACGAGCGGCTGCTTCCGATCCTCGCGCACCACTCGTGGCTACTCCCTCCTGCAGCATGTCGGAATAAATAGATTAAATGTTTAAATAGACGCGACTCGGCGCGCAATAGTGACACCATAGGTAATGACACCATAGGTCAAAGTGGGAGTACAAAGTACAAGTACCTCCCACGTGTGATAGTTAACTCTGATTGGAAGGTAGCTGTGGCGAAACCAACCTCGCCACTGTGAACTGGAGAAGCCTGGTTGCTCGCCTGCTCCCTTTGGACTATGGCCCTGCAGGTTAAACCATTTATTTTCCCTGCAGAAAGGCTTATTCGTGTGATCTGAGTGCCATTCATCTAATAATGTGCGCTCAGATCAAAGCTATCTGGGGATGTGTAGAAATGTGTGTTTTATGTACTAAATGTATCAGTATGTAATTTTATGTCTTTTACTGTCTTTTTGTCTGCCATGTGGGTAATGGAGTTTTGCCTCTGTCCTGGGAGATAATTAGATTCCTTCCCCAATTATCTCCAGGCCAGAGGGGAGGGATTGTGAGGCATTGTGGGAGGTAACTCATGTGTGATTGGTGTATTGTGTAATTGTTGTAAATCCCTCCCTTGCATGGGAGAATCCTTTATAAGCCTGTTGTGTGAATAAATCAGGGTTGTTCCTGTTTAACCCTCCAAGTGAAGTGTCGTCTCATTCTTGGGGGGGAATTTGACTGTATGCCGATTGCCAGGAGTGTAAGCTGTTCTTAGGGCTTTTCCTGTTCGGCTGCTTCCAGGGTTCGTGTGTTTCCTGTTCGGGAGTTGGGGATTCGTACAGTTTGGAGTTCGGGAGATTGGTGATTGCAGTAGCTGCTGGTCTATCTGGAAGGGGATTATCGCCTAAACGGTTTTTATCCCCTTGTGAGCGAAACGGTCCGTTACAGTAGCCAATCAGAGCTAACCTAAGCATATTCATACTTACCTTTTCCAAATTTCCTTGCCCTGTTGTTGTGGTCTTTGGTTTACCATTGAGCATTGCACTTGTTATTTGATTTCCTGGTTACCGATCTTTATTCCCTCTCTCTGTTTCCCTTGACCTTGCCTCGTGTTTTAACTATCCCTTTTTGCATAACCCGACCATTCTAAGGATCGGTATTGCAATTTTCTCTACTCTGTCCTGTCTGCATGTTAGGGTTCCCTAGTGAACGTTACAACTATATGGAAAAAATAACTTGTAAGTCGGCTATGTGTGCATATGCTTTTAGATTAAGGGTTCGCCCTTTTCACAAATTAAATAGAAAAGCCTTTACATTTATCTTGATCTGCATACTTCAAAGTCATCAAGCTTTATGACTTTCAACCAAACTTACCTTTCTCCAGCGCCGGACTCCCTCTGTGCTGGGGAACTCTCCACCCCATGGCGAGGTCAGATCCGAATGCACATTACTCAATGCTTTTCTATGGACGTCCAGAGTCTTCTCGCTGTGATTTTCACAGTGAGAATCGTGGAAGTGCCTCTAGCGGCTGTCAGTGAGACAGCCACTAGAGGTTGGATTTA